TATAAAAGAAGCATAAAAGTAGTTGTTAAATATCTGCTCTGCCTGTCAGTTTAGAGCTTCCTGCCCATGTGTGAAGGGGATTGAAGCTTTGGGACGTAAAAGTTGAGCGTGTGCTGGATGCATGCTGGCAGTATTGGCTGAAAGTTGCAGAAGCTCAAGCTTGGCAGTTGGATGTGGTGGTAATGGTGATGTCCCTGGCACCACCATGATTATACCTGGGGCATAATGTTTTATGAGGTGACTGTTGGAGTTGTGGACGTTTGCCGATGCCTGGAATGTTTGGAAATGGTACCAGATCCATGTCCTGGGGGTAAGGATTAGCTTCCATACTGCTGCCAGGGTCATGCCTGAGCTGGAAGTACAGATTATTTCTTCTGTTTGCCTGAAAATTTCCTCAGGTAGTGCTAGGTTGAGTGGTCGCTCCAGACTGCTTGAGTGTTTGGTGTGTGATTTGGAGGTGTAGAGCGGTACCTGTCACAGGTAAGGTGGTCACTGCACATGCACGGGGCGGGGACTGCCGTAGGTATTGATGTCTGACAAGAGACACATGGTGAGTGAGGATGATGCAGGTCATGGCCTGCACTTTCCCTTCCTGAACATTCAGGTGCTGTTTTTGTCAGATGTGTGAAAATAAATGTTTCTGTTTTTGTGGTTTGGAGCACTTTGTTCAGTGCTCCAAACCCTCAGAGGAGCAGTTTTGGGAAGTTTGTTAGGAATTTGGGAAACTTTTCAAATGAAAGGTGATGTGGCTTGTCCCACTGGCACCAGCAGTGGGCAGGTAAGGCAATTTCAGAACAGCAGCTGTGCACTGGTGCATTTGTTCCAGGGGCTTTTGGACATTGTGCTCCCTTCAACTGGAAAGCTCGTGGGACAGACTTGCAACAGTGCTTCTGTATTGGCCCCCGAGTGCTGAACTGCAGGTTTCACAGCACCATGTTGCAGGAAGCAGGTAACTCCTCAAGTTAGTGGTTCATCACTTCTCAGGGATGCCACAAAATTCCCAGAGCAGGGTTAGCTGTTCCCCCCAAGCTGAGCTACTGAGCATAGTTTGACTTTAGGAATGTATGTTTAGGAATGAAAGATGAGTTTACCACCACAAAAGATTTTTTCTAATGCATCCATACAGCAATTGTGGAGCTTTTCTCTCACCATCTGAATGCTTGATCTTTGTAGGTAGTGTTTTGACTAACTCTCTTCCTTGGAAGTGGTGTTATTGAAAGCTTGTTGTGACCAGAAGGAGAGTGTTTCAGGTGTTCTAATAAGCATTCCTCTGTATTCAGATTGGAAAGCATGAATCAGAATTTCTTATCCAGGTTGGAACCAGGACTGGCAAAATAGATCTGTATTCTCAGTAACACGTTTGTGATAGACCCACCCTGAGCTTCAGCCGCATAAAGAGCAATATATTCTTTCTAATTCTGAAAAACCTGGACTGGAAAACCTGGAAGCTGCAGCCCTAATCACCATTGTGTTGCCATGGGTGATGCCTGCAGCAGTGTAGTTTGGGGGTTGTCGTGTGGAGGTGACCAGGCCAAGAGCTGCTGTGGGATCTCAAGACGTTCTCTGTAGGTCAGTGCTGCTCCCAGGTGAAGCCCCAGCAAAGTCTGTGCATCACTCCTGGTCAAAGCTTTAGCTGAATGGAAGGACAGATGTCCCCTCATCTGACTTGGTGCATAACGATCACTCCAAGTGCTCAGCTGTTTATTATTGGAGTTGCATCACAAGTAGTGGCTTGGGAAGCATCTCCCTGAGCTCCCAGCAGACTCTGCTCTGCTCCAACACCCAGTGTTCGTCTCAGGGTTACTACCCGCCAGCCTCCAAGGGTGTTTACTCTGCTGAAAGCAGAGGAGTCTGGTAGATGTTGTGCTGCAGTCACTAAGCAGGCATCTGAATGAGCTTCTAAAAATAGCTTATCCCTTTCCAAGAAAGTGAGGTGCTGTCTAACTTGGGCCAGACCCAGGATGGGGAATAGGAAGGACAGCATTGGTCATGTGACTCTATTGTAAAATAAACTTTTTCAGGTGATGATTGGAGTGGCTGCATTGCTGGTCTAGAGGCCCTTGCAACTTCACAGACCCATAGTGGTATGGTTTACACTGATATTCCTCAGACAGAGATCAGAACATCAGTTAGTGCCTGCAGGATAGTTTCTCCTTTGAAGGTGGATTTTCCTGTGAGATCTTTAACTGGAATTTTTTTGAAAAGTAATATTGCTCAAGAGCATTGTGACAGACATTTGCTTGCAACTTCTCTGTTTTTTAGTAGCTGGGTTACTTCAGGAAAAGCCATTCTTTATCTGTGCACAACTCTGAATTTGAACCCAGTTGGGATAGTGCAATGTTTGAATGGGAAATGTATGTGCTGCCCACAGAGAGATCATACCATGTGTGTGCTTGGTTAGTCTTCATGTCTGGCATGAGGCAAGCCTTCCCTCTCATCCTTTAATTTATAATTCTGAGTGGCCTTTTTTGCCTTGCATTATTCTTTTTCAGGTAAATGAGGCCATGTTCAAAATCTTCATGGTTTTTAATCACTCTCCATCTGTCATGACATTTCTGAAAAACCGAAGGGAGGCTGTTCCTGCCTAGTTTGCCTCAAAGCTGCATTTTGGCATGTGATGGCCAGCTGTACCGTTTAGCCTGGCAAGTGCTGCATGATACTTAGTGGCTTTCTTCATCATCTCTGACAGGTCACAGGGCTGCCTTCCCAGCTAGTGATAGTGACCATTCTGAGGTCACCAATACACCCAGGAATGCCACTGAACACACAAGCACAAGTACATATTGGTCATACTACTTGTGGTTGTAAATGAAGCGGAAGTGATTGTTTTGTGGAAGGAGCCTTTTTGCTGTAGATGCTTCTGGTGACTGGTTGGTAAGAAATGGAAAAAATTGTCATTCCCAGGCTATTGGGCCAAAGCCAGTATTAATGTTGGAAACAGTACTTTATCTTACATTGGCAAAGCAAGATAACAGAGCTCAGTTTGAAAATAATGCAAGTTGTAATCATGGATTGACAGGTGATTGTCAAATATATGGCAAGTACTGATTTAGTAGCCAGAGATAAAATAATAATGACTTTAGGACTCGGAATAACAAAATGAAGAGAAGATCTGTAGCAGCCACAGGAACTTGGAGGCCAGTGCAAGTCAGGAAATCGCACAGGTTGAGCAGCTGATCCCTCAGCGTTTCTAAACCTGACTGTTCTTAGGTATATGTTATTTCTCAGTGCCTTGTCTGGGTTTCAGGCCGCATGTGTCTCTGCTGGCAGCTTCTCCCTCTGTCAGGGCTGGGGACCCCTTCCCTTCCCTTCCCTGCCCGGCCCACGCGGCAGCGCTGCAGCGCCCAGCCATGTTTACATCCTGCTGTAGCCCACGTGCTCTGGAGCGGAGGCAGGCCTGGAGCGGATCCACTCCCACTGCTCCTGCTCCCCTGGCAGTGCTGCGGGACTGAAGTTGAGTTTCTCCCTTTCTGGGAATGGCCTTCAGGGGTGCTCTGTGATGCAAGGTGTCTGAGGCAGAAGCAGTGTCTTCTGGCATAATGTAATTTGTTTTATGCTACTTTATCATTGCTTTTGCTGGATTTCTTGTCATCTCTGCTGCAAGTTGTATTTCCTTTTTAGCAATTCTTTGTTAAAGGAGCAAATGCCAGTATCTTTTTTGGATAAGGAGAATCCTCTAGAATCCTTTTGTGCTTCATTCACAGTGGAGTTCATTTCAACATTAATATCAATATCCTCAAACTTCCTTCTTCTCTGTCATTGCAGGATGAACAGTTTTTAGGTTTTGGTTCAGATGAAGAAGTCAAAGTACAAAGTCCCACAAGGTCCCCCACAGGTAAGTTCAAGTTGCAGGATTTGGTGTTGACTTTCTATTTTCTTTTGTGATGATTTTGCTGTGCCTATCCTGTTTGTTCCATCAAATCTCATCCAGCATAAAAGCCACACCAGTCTTTAGATTCAATGCCGTTAGTTTTGGATTCTCTATGTCCGATCTGTAAAGGAGCAGGGAAAGTTTGAGTAAAGGAGTTATACTGATGAAACCAGTACTTGAAACCTCGTGTCAGTGTTCTGGAGAGGCAGCTATTTAAAGAGTAAGGGTCTGAACTGGTTTGGCTTTTTTAGTGTTCTTCAGTAGACTCCTTTCTGCCTGTGTTGTCAATAAATGCTCTCACCAGAGCGCTTTGCTCTTCCACCATAATCATCTGCTCAGCTTGGCTTCAACAGCAAACTGTGGTGGAGTGCCTTGCTAGTGCAAGGGAAGATCCAGAACTGAAATAGCTGGACTTGGTGAGATTGCAGTGAAATGCATTGGTCAAGGTGGGTAATCAAGACTTGTGCTTGATGGCTCCAAGTCACTGCTGAGTATTAACTATGTCTCAAAGCTAAAACCAGTTTTTAGTAAATTGTCTTGTATCAGCCTTGTGCAGGTTGTTCTTGCTCTCTTGACCTCTCCCCTAGCAGTGCAGATGGATGGCACTCGAAAGGAAGGATTTTTTGTCTTTCAACTGGCTGTGAGCTGCTTTAAAAAAATGTATAAAAATTCATGTGTTTAAAAGGTACCATGTGCCCTTGAGAATTACTGCTCCCTCCCAGCATGAAGTTGGTGCTGGGCTTGTGCAATATATAATTGTTGGGAAAAGGCTAGCTTGCATTTTTAAACAAGTTATCTGCATGGTATTTTATGTGGGAAAAGACATTTGTTGGGAAGGTATTCTCTACATGTAGTGCCAAAACTATTTTTATTTGTTGATTTTATTAAATGTTTGGCGACGTATGGGCAGCATGAATGATACTGAGTGAACACTTGTTTGACCTGGGTAATGCTCATCCCACACCTGGAGAAATTTAATATGTTCCCTGCATTCTCTGTTTCCCTCTCAGTTAAATCTAGTCCACGGAAACCTCGCGGGAGGCCCCGGAGCAGTTCTGACCGAAGTTCAGCTGTACTGTCAGACTCTTCATCAGTGTGTTCCCCTTCAAGCAAGTCTGAAACCACATCCATGGAGAAAGTAAAGAAGAAGGAGTCAAAGAGTGGGGAAAAAAGACGAGGAAGACCTCCAGCACTTACAAGTGTGAAGTTCAAATTGTCACAGGAAAAGGACACATCGGACATTCAGAAGGGCAGCAAAGAAGAAAAAGAGAGTCTGAAAAAAATCAAAAGATCACCATCCACTACATTTCAGCAAGCAACTAAAATCAAGAAATTAAGAACTAGTAAGCTTTCCCCACTGAAATCTAAATTTAAGCCTGGGACAAAACTTCAGATTGGGAGGAAGAGCGTTCAGATCGTGCGCAGGAGAGGCAGGCCACCGTCCTCCGAACGTTTAAAGACTTCCTCAACTTTGGTCATGAACTCACAGCTGGAGAAGCCCCAGAGGATTCGCAAAGAAAAGGATGGCACACCGCCTCTCACAAAGGAAGAGAAGGCTGCTGTCAGACAGAGTCCACGCAGGATTAAGCCTGTCAGGATTATACCTTCCACCAAAAGGACGGATGCTACGATTGCTAAGCAACTCTTGCAGAGGGCTAAAAAGGGAGCACAAAAAAAGATTGAGAAAGAAGCAGCCAAACTGCAGGGCAGGATGGGGAGAACACAGCTCAAAAATATTCGACAGTTTATCATGCCGGTTGTGAGTGCAATCTCATCACGGATTATCAAAACACCCAAACGGTTTATTGAGGATGAAGACTACGATCCTCCTATTAAAATATCCAGACTAGAATCCACACCAAACAGCAGGTTCAGCACTACATCTTGTGGCTCCAGTGAAAAGTCCAGCGCTGCTTCTCAACATTCATCTCAGATGTCTTCAGATTCCTCACGGTCCAGCAGCCCCAGCGTGGATACATCTACAGACTCCCAGGCTTCTGAGGAGATGCAGATGCTTTCTGAGGAGCGAAGCAATACTCCAGAAGTTCACACTCCCCTGCCTGTTTCTCAGTCCCCTGAAAATGATAATGGTGATAGGAGAAATAGAAGGTTTTCGATAACAGAAAGAAGTTTTGGCCAGAGGACTGCAAAAAAGCTGTCTGCCTTACCAAGCATGCCACAGCAGCAGTCTTCCTCCTCTCCTCCTCCCCCCTTGCTCACTCCCCCCCCACCACTGCAGCCTGCTTCAAGCATCTCAGACCATACCCCTTGGCTTATGCCTCCAACCATTCCGTTAGCCTCGCCCTTTCTTCCTGCTTCTGCTGCACCGATGCAAGAGAAACGAAAGTCAATTCTGCGAGAGCCAACATTTAGGTGGACGTCCCTAAAACATTCCAGGTCAGAGCCGCAGTACTTCTCATCAGCAAAATATGCCAAAGAGGGTCTTATTCGCAAACCGATATTTGATAACTTCAGACCCCCACCGCTAACACCGGAGGACGTTGGCTTTGCATCTGGCTTCTCAACGCCAGGTGCGACAGCTCCCACGCGTCTCTTTTCACTTCACTCTGGAGCCAGGTTTGATATGCACAAGAGAAGCCCTCTGCTGCGAGCGCCACGATTCACACCAAGTGAGGCCCACTCCCGCATCTTCGAGTCTGTGACCTTGCCCTCGTCAGTCGGCCGTGCCACCACGGGCACCTCTGCCGCGGGCACGTCCTCTCGGCGGCGCAAGAGGAAAGCGTTCAGCCCCATCCGATCGGAACCCAGATCTCCTTCACACTCCATGAGGACGAGGAGCGGAAGGCTTAGTACCTCTGACCTGACAACTCTCACTCCACAGTCTTCTGTCTCTTCCTCTTTAACTAGTATTTCAGTTAGTTCTCTTGCCACTAGTGCCTTAAATTCAACTTTTACTTTTCCCTCCCATTCCCTGTCACAGTCTGGGGAATCAGCAGAAAGAAACCAGAGACCAAGGAAGCAGACGAATGCTCCAGCAGAGCCTTTCCCATCTGGTAGCCCTGCTCCTCTCTTCCCCTGGTTCACATCAAGTCCCCAGACAGAGAGAGGTAAAAACAAGGACAGGGCAGCAGAAGAGCTCTCCAAAGATAAAGATGCTGACAAAGCCCTGGAGAAGGACAAGAGCAGAGAGAAAGACAGAGAGAGAGAAAAGGAGAACAAACGGGAGTCAAAGAAAGAGAAAAGGAGAAAAGGGTCAGAAGTACAGAATAGCACCGCTTTGTTTCCTGTAGGTAAAATGCCCAAAGAAAAAGTCAGCGAAGACGCTGCAGCATCATCATCTGCCAAAAAAACTGCCGGGCGGAAGAAGTCTACAGCAGCAGATCCCACGGCAGAGGTTTCCACTGCTGCTCTGGTAGATACGACAGCTGTCAAAACCAAAACATCCAAGAAAGGTAGAGGGGGGCTGGACAAATCAGACCTGGATCTCAGCCCCACTGTGCCATCTTTGGAGAAGGAAAAAGCTCTCCGTCTTTCTGCTCCTTCATCAAGCACTGTTAAACATTCTGCTTCCTCCATCAGTTCTATGTTGGCTCAAGCAGACAAACTGCCAATGACTGACAAGAGGGTAGCTAGTCTTCTGAAAAAGGCAAAAGCCCAGCTGTACAAGATTGAGAAGAGCAAGTCCCTCAAACAAGCAGATCAGCCAAAAGCACAGGTACTCCTTTTTCCAAGTTGGGTTTTTTGCTAGAGTGCATCTTACTTTGAACTTGTCCTGAAAGTCACAAATAGCTTTTGTATACTGAGCGTGAAGAATTAATGTGCCAAGTTAAGCAGCTGTTAGTGCAACAGATGGCAAACGACCCAAAACCAAGAAGCCCTGGGCAGAAGCTGAGGGGAAGAGGGAGCTGCTGCATAGTCAGCTCAGAGGGGAGCTGCTTGCATTTTGGAGACCAGTACAGCATAGCTGCTTACTGGGTTTCTCTGAACAACTATAAGTAAAGCCATCATCTAGAGTAGTATTCACTCTGAAAAGTGCAGTTCCAGCAAAATGCAGTGTCTGTCTTTGCCTTGAGGTTTCTTGGGGGCCCTTCTCCATAAAGTTGGCTTCTGAAGGAAGGTTATTCTTGATCTTTCTGGTTTTTAACTTTATACAGTGATCTCTCACTTGTAGGAGGGAGAAAGATCCATTGGAATTTTTCATCTGATTTGGGGAACTGCTTCCTACCACTTTGCTCTTTTCCCTATTCCCCACCCCAAAACCACCCTTTTCTGCAGTCCTCTTTACCTGCCAGAAAGGGAGGTGAGATGGATTCCAACTTTATGGATTCCAACAAGATATGTTTTCAGGAAATACTTTTTATTTAAATTTTTACTTTTTGTAACAGCACTAGTGTTGAAAATCGCTAGTACGTATTTCAAATAGAGAAGCCTCCAGCTGTTTATTTCTGAAATGAAGATGCCCATGCATCTGTGTGACTGGCCTGGTGTAGCAGAAGCCCAGATTCTCACAGTTGCTTATTTGGGATAGTTATTTCAGTGGGAGACATTCCAGAATCTTACTAAAACATGGAAAATTGAAATTATCAATTTGTTTAGTATCTCAGTAAACCCCTTACCTGAAACATCAACAGCTGCAAAGCTCTCAAACAGCCTCATCTACTATTTGCTTCTGTTGGATCGATCAGCACCAAATGCTGCTCCAATTCCAGTGGACTCTGATTTTTTTAATGTCAGTTCCTTGATAATGTGGCTTCATGAGCAAGTTGGCTTTCCAGTAGTGGATGGAGACTTACCTTGGAATTCCAGATGAGTTACAACTCTTGTTCTCTTGCATTTATTCTTTCTTGGATAACTGAGGCTTAGAAGGCCAAGTCATTTTTTGTCCTGATTATTACAGTCTGCAAGCTATGATATAATTTGCTTGGAAGTCTCTATGCATGTTTCTCAGTCTCATTTTGGTAACTTTCTTAGGAATACTGTCTGCTCTCATGTTCTGAAATCTAGGGGCAAGAGAGTGATTCATCAGAAACGTCAGTCCGAGGACCACGAATCAAACACGTTTGCAGGAGAGCAGCTGTCGCGCTGGGCCGCAAGCGCGCGGTGTTTCCTGATGACATGCCCACTCTGAGTGCCTTACCATGGGAAGAGCGGGAGAAGATACTGTCTTCCATGGGGAATGATGGTGAGTTAGGATTTCTGGTTTTCATCTGCAGGCCCATAAAAAGTCAGCTTCTGGTGATTGCTTTAAATAAGGACTTCAAGTGATTAACAAGGGAAAGTATGTTAAAGAGCTCTGGGCTCTCTATTACAGTGCCACTCAAACAGGGTTAATCCTTTAAGCTGTTGGGAATTGTGTTAAATATGTGTGTTTTGCACCAAACCTGTGTTCTGCCAAGGGGCGTGTGAGCATATACATGTGTATGCGCACAATCTCATGTGGCTCTGCAGATGAGCTTAGGCTTCATGGGCTAAACGAGACACTCCTGAATGATTCTTTGACATCAGAAAATTCACATTAGAAATGTTCTTTTGGTAGATAAGTCATCGATAGCTGGCTCAGAAGAGGCTGAACCTGTTGCTCCACCCATCAAGCCCATTAAGCCGGTCACCAGAAACAAGGCCCAGCAAGAGCCTCCGGTGAAGAAGGGCCGGCGCTCCAGGCGCTGCGGGCAGTGCTCAGGCTGCCAGGTTCCAGAGGACTGTGGGGTCTGCACTAACTGTCTAGACAAACCCAAGTTTGGTGGGCGCAATATAAAGAAGCAGTGCTGCAAGTAAGTGTGTCTGAGAAGCTGTTGAGCTAATCCGTGCTCTGGGTGGGATAAGTGTACCCACGATCTGGGCCAGGAACCACAGATTTGCACTGTGTCATGGGCTTGGACTGAGCTTGACCTGGTCTGAAGCTTGATCAAAGGAAGGGCCTGTAAACAGTTTGAGAGTCGAGACCACAATTCAAGGTGCAGTAGTTATGAGCTCTTTCTCTGGAGTTCACTTCTAGTTTATTCTCCTCAGTTTGATGAGAGTGGCAGAGTACTGGGGATTGTTTGGTGTAAGATCTGTGGGTTTTGTTAGGCAGTACAGGATTTTGCAAGGAAGGCAATATGCACATAAATATTTATCTCTTATTCTCCTAGACTGCATTCATGAAGAGCTTGTGTTTTCAAGCTGATGTTTATTTAGCTTATGTACACTTTGTATATCAAAGGGTTAGGATCTCTGGATCCTAACCATGGATCACAGGTGTGTCTGGATATTACTAAGAAACACCACTCCTCCATGATTTCTTCTGTCATTTTTTATACATATCACTTAGACTGAACCTTTTTCTTTTTTAATTGTGGTATTAAATTGATTTTACCAGACTAGATAAACTGTCTGAAAAGGCAGCAGCTAAAGTGGCACCAGTAGATTGTTGTGGTATAAGAGCTATTTATAAGCTTTGCTGTGAGAATTGCTGTGTGAGAACACTCTGCAGACTGGAAGGAATCTTGCTCTCAGCAGCTTTGCTCAGGCTTTGGGCTGGGTTTCAGAGCCATGGGCCCTGCTACAGGAATGGAGACAGAAACAAAGCCTGGCCCAGTCTGCAGAAGACATTTTATGCCAAGAATAGGACAAATAGGGAATAAAATTAAATAAAGTTAGCAAAAATCTTGGTCCCCTAATCCAGTCGCATGCTGAGAGTACTTGGTTTTGTCTGAACAAAAGTAGTGTATGTATTGATAATGTTCTTTTCAGTTTTTGATGTTGAGTATTTACAGACAATGTCTGTAAATGTCTGCCCTCTTGATGTCTGCATCTTTGTTCTGATTTCATGACATGTTCTTTCTTTTTAGAATGAGGAAATGTCAGAATCTACAGTGGATGCCTTCAAAAGCTTATCTCCAGAAGCAAGCTAAAGGTAGGCTAAAAGACTTGCCTTGAGTATAGTACAAGACAGAATTTTTTCTTTTCAGAGGTTTTGCTCTCTGTGCTGTTTTAGCTACACTGAGCTTATAAAGGTTATTCTGCTGGGAGCCAACCTGCCTGCACCGTTGGTGGCAGGTGCAAGGGGCAGGAGAGATGTGAGTACTGGCAGACATTGCACATGCCAGTGTCTTTCAGCACTGGCCAGGTGCTGACTGGACTTGTTTGTTTCCTTCCTTTTCCTTCCTCACAAAATCTGCTCTCAGCTCTGAATCTGTATTACTGCAGGAGGGTGTTGCTTATTGCTGTTGCAAAATAGGGGCCCTAGGTGTGAGAGAACATAGACTGAAGTACAAACCAAGTTTATTTTTTGAGTACAATTTTTTCTTTGGTATGACAGAGTGACAAAGTTCTGCATCAAAGTGTCTGTATCCTTGTTTCAAGAGAGCAGCAAATCATTTGAAGTCACACTATTTTGTTTGTGTTGCTTTATCTGTGCTTCTTTTTCTTAGCTGCAAAAAAGAAAGAGAAGAAATCCAAGACAAATGAGAAGAAAGAAAGCCATTCTGGAAAAAACCAGTTGGACTCTGGACAGAAACAAACTCCTCAGGCTGTTGTACCAAGAGAAGACAATTCTGGGAAGAAGAGCAGTGAGCCTGCCCGTAAGCCTGTTGAGGAAAAGCATGAGGATGGGAATTCCTCTGTTCCTGTGTCAGAGCCCAAACAGGTCCCTGTGTCTGGTACCAGAAAGACTGGCAAGCAGATGTCCCAGCCAGTCCAGCTCCCTCCTCCTCAGCCACCAAGCTCAGGACCTTTGAAAAAAGAAGCACCTAAACCTAGCACTTCTGAGCCCAAGAAAAAGCAGACTCCCCAGCCAGAAATAGGTAAATGGGACTATTTATCCTCAATACGTTTGAGTCATGTTAAGTAACAATGCTGCTAAAAGCTGGTGCATTTTAAACCCAATGAATGCTTTATGGTGTGTTGAAATCTCAGCAGATTATTTTGGAAATTTTGCTTAGAACTGGCTTCCTTTTTCTTGAGTCACAGTGTATGTTAAGGCAGGGAGAAAGATGGCTATCCTGGTTGGGACTCTTGAGTTGTATAGTCATGGCAGTCTTGAGGTGTATTTTCAGAATTGTTAAGTCTGTCAACTTCCCATTCTGAATGTGAAACCAGGAGGATGTAATCTTTCATACAAAAGTATAGTCCGCTATTGTATGTAGTGCAGAGCAGTGTGAGCAGTCACCAGCCAGGCAGCTCTGGGACTTCTGTGACTTTGCACTCACAATGCTGCAGACTGTGTGCAGAGCAAACTCTTCTTCTAGTCTTGCCTCAAAGAAACTGCTCATAGCTGGGGAGGTGCAGCCACAGAAGAGGGTGGAAAAGTTCTAGTCTAAAACTCATCACACATTACCCAGCTGATTTTTTTCCCTTTTCTTCTCTACAGGTGGCTGTTAGTTACTTGAAATACTCATAATTTTTCCCCCCCTTCCTAGGCACAGAACAAAGCAAACAGAAAAAAATTGCTCCCCGTCCAACTTTCCCTGTGAAACAGAAACCAAAAGAAAAGGTGAATACTGTTTTTTGTACAGTCAGTAAAATCTCAAGCACCTGGAACTTCTGTCTGGAAAGTAGAACCATATTGCTTAAGCCTTTGCATTTTTTTTTATTTGGTTCTTAAACATGTTAGGCTTTCCCTTGTGGCAGTATGTGGATTGCAAAAACCATGGCCTATGCCTAAGATTCAGTTTAGATGTTACTTTGGTATCTAAGATTTGTGTGTTGGAGGGTGGAGGCTAGCTTTTCCCTAAAAAATGCAACTACTTTAGTCTCAGAAATAGCTCAATCATGGAAAAAAAAGAATTGTCCTAAGTAAACCTGAAGGAGAAGTGAGTAGAGCCTGTTTATACCCAGACTTGCCCCACTGCATCCAAACACCAGCCCATGCTTTGATGAAAGAACAATGTGATGGTAAAGCACATGGAATTAGGAGTGTACTTGCATATGGAATGCTCTTAGGGAATCGTTTGTAGAATGGTCACTTCCCTGCAGCTTTGTAATACTTGCTAATTTTGTGCTGGTTTGGGGGTTTGTCTGTAAATTATTTATGGTATTGGATGCAACTGCTGATTAAGTTCTAACGTCCAGAGTTGGGATTAATGCAGGCTCCTTTGCTTGACCAGGAAAAGCCCCCTCCTCTAAGCAAGCCAGAGAGCAGCACACTGAACTTGCTCAGCACTCTGACTAACGGCAGCAGTTCCAAGCAAAAGCCACCTACAGATGGAGTCCACAGAATCCGAGTGGATTTCAAGGTAGAGGACAAAATGTTTTAAGTATTTGAATGTCCGCTGGCTTTCAGACACTGGAACTAGAGTCCCCTGAAAGTGCTGGCAATAACTGCTGAGTGTGTGTTTCGAAGGGAACCGCCAAAATAGGAGCCTCATGATAAGTCACTTGGTTGATTTTTAAAAGCTTGTTATGCCTTTTTTTTCTTATAATTAGAGTACTGGATGAAGAGACACTTAAAGCTTTAAAACCTTAACTGTCAATGTGTGAGGATGAGCAAGAATTTGAGGTTTATGAAGAATGATTCCATTAAGATGGAACTTTAAAACCTTACCACAACTTGAGCCAACAAGATTTGGGGAAAATGTTAGTAACTTGTAATTCACAACGTTTGGGGTATATCTGGGGTTTTAAAATGATAATTCATGTACATTTTTGAACAGTGTTGAAATAATAATAAAATATTTTCCTAATAATTTTTCAGTTCATCTCTAAGTGTTGATACTGGAGATCATAGTGGGATCTCATAAGTGTTTTATACAAATATGGAGCTTTAATAAAGTATAATTCTTCTGAAATTTCACTTCTAGTAATACTTGTGCAATTGTGAAAAGCCTCGTCCTGTTCCCTAGGTTTGCTTTCCCTAGAAGGAAGGCTCTAGCATGCCACCGAGTGCTCTCGGCATGAACAGCGCCGAGGTGTGACTCTCCCAGAATACACTGTAAAGTAGACTGAGGTAGACATTGAAATTATTCCAGTTTGAGGCACCTTAATCACAGGCCCTGAACTGAACAGTGGCGGGAGCATTTTGTAGTGATGTTGTGTTGCCTTGTTCTGCATGGTGATGTGTCCTTTTGTACTTTCAGGAGGACTGTGAAGTGGAGAATGTTTGGGAGATGGGTGGGTTAGGCATCGTCACCTCGGTACCTATTACTCCCAGGGTGGTGTGTTTTCTCTGTGCCAGCAGTGGACATGTGGAGGTAAAGCATTGTGTTCTGCTGTTGATGACTTAATTACAGCACTGTATTGTTACAAAAATAAATAAATAAAAATTATAATGACCTTAATCCAGAAGAATTCAAAATAATACCGGTAAATCTGTCCTTGCTAGAATTTGTCCCAAGATAATAAAGTGCAAGGTATTTAAAATCAGTTTGGGAGCTCACATCTGATATAAAGCAAGAGTTTTGGTCTCTTTTAACCTGAAATAAAAAAGACTGCCCAATGGTGCTGACAGGTTTTAGACAGCCTTGGCTTTTCCAGGTGTGTCCATATCTGCCAAGAGGTGTAAGCTGTTACAGAAACATAACTGGAAAGGTTCTGATGCTGCCTAACGAGCTGGATTGAGATGTGTTAAATGCATTTCCAGGTTTAGCTAGGTGCCTTCTCGGCATCTTCAGACCAGCTAACCTGGGTGCTATTGCTCTAGGAGAGCCTGGGTTCTGATGAGTGGGCAGGGGAAGAGGGGGTTAAGTTCTGGATGTGGACATCAATGCACTTGAGGTCCATGAAGGCCCTGTGGGTCATGGAGCCATCCCCTTCTTAGTCAGGAGTCCCCAGGGGACAAACAATTCCCATGTCCCCTGTGAGCCTGCAGTGTCTGTGCTCTGAGGATGGTTGTTTTTCTGATATGACCACTCTTGTACAGGATACAGAGAAACTAGAAGAGCTTTGTAATGGTGAAGGGGGCTGAACGGAGGGAGAGAGACTCTCTTTGCTCTGCATGTCCCTGCTTCATGCACCAAATGTGTCTTCTGGTGTATCTGGCTTGTAGTACAGGGACGAAGTGAGGGAAGGAGATCCTGAAGAGCCTTTATCAATGCTCAAGGCACTTAGTTAACAGGTACCAGACTCCTGGTGGCTGTGAGGTGTCCAGTTGCTATTTAGATTACCTGAAATACAGAGTTTCCCTCCTAAAATCTTGTTCTGTCAGTTGTAAAGCAGAATTCAAAATAGTTCAGAGCACAAGCGGGCTGGTTTGGGAACTTGGAGCAGTTTCTGCTTTGCTAAAACCTGCCTCTCCCCCCTTGCAGTTTGTATATTGCCAGGTCTGCTGTGAGCCCTTCCACAAGTTCTGCCTGGAGGAGAGCGAGCGGCCCCAGGAGGATCAGCTGGAGAACTGGTGCTGCCGTCGCTGCAAGTTCTGCCACGTCTGTGGGAGACAGCACCAGGCCACCAAGGTACCCCAAAACCACTGGGAGACCCAGCAGCACCCCCTCTGCTCCCAGGGCTCCTCTGGATCCAGAGGCTGGCCAGCAAGCATGTGCCAGGAGCAGAGTCTCTGTGCGCTGGGGAGGAGGCCTCTTCAGTTGCTCCATTGCAGCTTCCTTCTCATGACCTGAATGGGGGATCTAGTAAAAAAATGAAAAAGTCCAGAATTTTGCATCCCTTTGCAGGGTGTCTGTACCAATGCTTTTCTCCCTTATTCCTGTAGCAGTTGCTGGAGTGTAACAAGTGCCGAAACAGCTATCACCCTGAGTGCCTGGGCCCAAACTACCCAACAAAACCCACCAAGAAAAAGAAAGTTTGGGTGAGGGATTTTGATTTATTTTTTGGATAATTCATTTGTTGAATGATAGCAGTGCCATGGAGCAGAGCTCTGCAGGTGATTTGCTCTGATGCAGTTCCTCATCTCTTCAAGGCAAGGTGCCTATTGCCTCAGAAGGTACATTTGGAAATACTGAGGTGGCTGGTTGATAAGATGTTCTGAGAAAGCAGAATTGTTAGAGAGATTACCCCTTTTTCAGTTGTAGTAAGTCGTAAGATCACAGTAAGTTTTTTGGTCATAGACCCATAACATGGAAGAAAGTCTTTAAAATGGAAGTGTTGGTTAACAAACCTGTTGATACCAGTATTGAGAGACAATTTGGATTAATTTGCTAATCTGTGTCTTTCAAGCTTTTGTTCTAAGTGCCTGTAGTTGCCTGTAGTGTATTTGCTAAGACTTTGTGTACGTGTTTCCTTCTACAATGTACAGGGTTTAAAAAGTGTTAAAATAGGACTGTATATTTTAGATCAGAAGAAATGCCACAACTATGTCTGTTTTAGGTGAGGGAAAGTTGATATTTTCTTTAGTGCAAATATGGAGGACAAAAAAAACTATATTGTGATTTAGTTTAGTGGTTTTTCTTGTTGTATTATCACCATCTTACCACGGAGGAAGTGAGCTCAGTTCTTTTCAGTGAAAGTTTCAGCATTTAAAATTCCTTGTCCTGTTGGGTGACATCTCTGCACTCATGAAATAATAAAAATTATGAAATGTGTGGAAAGCACAGAAACTGCTGGATAAAAGCAAGTAATTCTTGCCAAATGAATTCTTTTTCCAGATATGTACCAAATGTGTTCGCTGCAAGAGCTGTGGATCAACAACACCGGGCAAAGGATGGGATGCACAGTGGTCTCATGACTTCTCCCTGTGTCATGATTGTGCCAAACTCTTTGCTAAAGGTACATATAGTGTGATTCTTTACAGCAGGAGCTTCCTCAGCTGCTTGGGTTTGAATCAGCCACTGTGAGTGGGCAGTGGGCTGGCAAGGCACCTGAGCTTGGCATGGTCCAGGCAGCAATGCAGGCTGGTCGTGGTCGAGCCTGAAAGTGCATGTAACAGTTCAGACTTCCATAAGATCCCATTTTGTTTGCAGGAAACTTTTGTCCTCTCTGTGACAAATGCTACGATGATGATGACTACGAGAGCAAGATGATGCAGTGTGGAAAATGTGACCGCTGGGTCCACTCCAAATGTGAAAACCTTACTGGTAAGGAAATGCTCGTCCCCTCAGTACTGAAGAACATGAGGCAGTGATTAGACCAAAGCAATCAAGTCTTGGACCTTTCTATTAGAGGGTTACTTTAATACACTCGCCTCTTGTGACCTACCTGAAAAATGCCTGTGGAGTAACAACAGATAAACCAGTGCTAATACTAATGACATCCTGAAAGCACAGGATGCTCAAAGGCAGTGTACCTCAATTAGCTGTACAAGGGACTTTTGTTACATGAAAAGTCTCAGGCAGCAGGTGCAGGGCAGGGATTTTTTCCTGTATCTTTCAATAAAGCAACTCAGGTGGTTATCCTGTCTTCTTTTGTCTCCAGATGAAATGTATGAGATACTCTCCAACTTGCCCGAGAGTGTGGCATACACCTGCATTAACTGTACAGAGCAGCATCCTGCAGAATGGCGTCTGGCACTGGAAAAGGAGCTGCAGATTTCCTTGAAGCAGGTTTTAACAGCCCTGTTGAATTCCAGAACCACCAGCCACTTACTGCGGTATCGACAGGTAAGCTGGAGCCTGTGCCCTGTTACTCTGGCATTCAGCTGAGTTGTTGAGGTGTTGCTGTGCTTCATACTGCAGAGTTGTCTGCATCATACTTGGAACAGCATGTGCTGTGATTTAGTTATATTTTTTCTTTCTTTTGTTGATTCCTTTGGAAGCAGAGAAGTGGGTATCTGTGATACGACTTAGAAGCTGAAAGAAAAATAGGGTGAAGTTCTTCAAGGAATAGGAGGATTTAGCTCTGTGATGATGAAGGTGCTTTTCGGACAAAAGAACAGGATCTTTGTCTTGAAATATGCACTCAGGAAATAAGACTTTTGAGCAATGAGTTTGATCCTTTTGGTTGGTGGTTCTGTCCTGCTATGCACCTTACAGGTCTCAGCAGAAAGCTGGTTAAGAGCTTTTCTTTGTTGCCCCTACATTTTGGACAGAAATTCCGAACTCAGTCCTCCTTCCTTTCACATTAGCAAGAGTCTTTGGACCAATAAATGGGCTTGGGAGGGTATAATCAGGAGCAGCTGCAATTCGATGTTACCATCCCTCTGTCTCCTTGCTGGTGTTCATAGGCAGCAAAACCACCTGATTTAAATCCTGAGACAGAAGAGAGTATCCCATCCAGAAGCTCTCCTGAGGGTCCCGATCCTCCTGTCCTAACAGAAGTCAGTAAACAGGAGGAGCAGCAACCTCTGGATCTGGAAGGAGTGAAAAGAAAAATGGATCAAGGAAGTTACATTTCTGTGGTATGTCAAAGTTGTCATGTTCTGCTCTATTAGTAGACACCCTGAATTGTTTTATCACATATGGTGTTCATAACTGAGCACCTTAAGCCTTTACTTTAGGAACAAGGAAGCAGGTTATTGTGCTGCTAGAAATAGTTCTGGCTGGCACCAGTTTATATTGGTAATATAAAGTAATTGACGCTTTTGTGGGGCTCTCTGTAGCCAGCAGTGGTACTTGGTCAGATCCCAGTTTGCTGTTAGTCAGACATTTATGTATATAAGTGTTCAGGTCATCCTGAACATGAAAATTCTGACTGAAGGTCTTGCCAAATTGCCCTGATGCAGTTGGTTAGCTGGAAACTAAGGATTCATGGGCGGAGGAGTGATCTCTTCCAGAGTCATTTACAAAAAAATGCTAGTCTTGACCAAATAAATTCTCTTTGCACAGACCAGCCTTTTCCTTTTTTTTCCCTAGAGAATTTGTAATCTTGAGGAGCACTGTATATTGCAAAGTGCTTGGCGAATGTTGTGGTGCCAGATTTTGACCAAATCCTCGTGAGACAGCTAGTTTAGCGGATTTAAAACCAGTCAGCTGAAGTGAATGGCTGTGGGTGTAGCAGCTGTGCCAGCCAGTTTACAAATTTAGAGGTCTTCTTGCTTCTTCACAGCCAAATTCCCTTTCTGCTTTTGAGTTGATGCTCTGGTTCAATCTTAAGTCATCTGAATGTTCACTTGAACATTGTTTTAAAAAATTAGTGGGTGGTATAGCTGTGCAAAAGACAATCCTGTTAATGTGAAATTTTGTGGATTTCTTACAGTTGGATTTTAGTGATGACATCGTGAAGATCATTCAAGCAGCCATTAATGCCGATGGCGGTCAGCCAGAGATTAAGAAAGCCAACAGCATGGTCAAGTCCTTCTTTATTCGGGTGAGCTGGCCTACAGTTACTGTGAAAAAATCTGCTTGGTATCCTAGCCCTGCTTGTTGATGTTGGAGTCTAAAGGGCCACCACATTTAGCCTTGCTTGGGTGTTTCCAGGAATAAAATAATACATTGTCAGAGTTGTTAATGTTAATGAAATGTTACTAGTTGTGCATTTACAGTACATCTTGGCTGAACATCTTTGAAGTTTTTGGTATGTTGTCTAACTTTTCTAATGGGATGTTTTTTCCTTTAGCAAATGGAGCGTGTTTTTCCATGGTTCAGTGTAAAAAAGTCCCGATTTTGGGAGCCAAATAAAGTAACAAGCAAGTAAGTAATTGTTCTGTATCCAACTGCGGCGCCCTGCCGTTTGCCAGCTGGCCAAGCAAAACGTATTGAAAGAGCCTGTTTGCGGGGTTGGAATTTCTGGTTTTCCTTTCTTCTTTTCCTTTTTTTTTTCCTAAGAAGTTATGCAGTAATCCCATTCCCATGTTTTGTCCACACTTCTTTATTTTAAGCAGAGTAACCAAAATTCTTAATTAGAACTAGGTGTACTGTGTGTTGGCTTGTCAATCCTGACCTTCCTTCCCTCTCCTTCTCACAGCCCCATTTGGGGTAGCCCTCCTGCATCTGTTACCCTTCAAAGAAGCAGACAGCCACATCACAAACCTTAAAATGTGACTGGTGGGGGACATATGTGGGCTGTAGGTGATTAATGGAGTTGTTGCTGGGGGGTGGATGTCAGCTAGGCAGGGCGTAGCCAGGTGTGACCCTGACCCCTTGCTCATCTCAGCAGTGGTATGTTGCCGAATGCGGTGCTGCCCCCATCGCTCGACCATAACTATGCTCAGTGGCAGGAGCGTGAAGAGAGCAACCGCACTGAGCAGCCCCCTCTGATGAAGAAGATCATTCCAGCTCCAAAACTCAGAGGGCCTGGAGAGCCAGATTCACCAACTCCTCTACATCCTCCTACACCCCCCATCTCTGGTAAGAGAACTGATGTCAGGACTGTCAATCTCGAACCCAGAAATGCAGCTGTCTTGGAGACCTCTGTGACCTGAAATCACTCAGAGGCAGTAACATATGAGATGTTTCTGAGCCGAGCTTGGACCCAAGAATGCTTTTGCACCCACCTCTTTTCCCCCCAGAATGAAGGTTGTGCAGAGACTGACATGTCCTTTGGTTTCCAGGCTGCTATTGGAAACTCTTCTACTGTGTTCACATACTGACAGTCTGTTCCAGATGAATTTTTGCTGCCCCAAATTTCAATATTGTTCTCTCTTTTAACTCTTAAGGCTCTGACAGAAGCAGAGAGGATAGTCCTGAACTGAACCCACCTCCAGATGTGGAGGACAACAGGCAGTGTGCATTGTGCCTGAAATACGGTGATGATAGTGCTAACGTGAGTATCTGCCCCATTCCCCTTTCTGGAGGAGTTCTGAATGGGTTTTGTGCGATGTTGTGTCCCCAGGAACATCTGAAGAGAGCAATTCCTTCTGTTCTTTAGGATGCTGGACGTCTTCTCTATATTGGCCAAAATGAATGGACACATGTGAACTGTGCTTTGTGGTCAGCAGAAGTGTTTGAAGATGATGATGGTTCTCTGAAAAATGTGCACATGGCTGTTATCCGGGGAAAGCAGCTGGTGGGTACAAGCAAAGAACACTTTATTAAACTTCATGCTGATTTGGAATCCAGGATGGGAGCACAGCTAAAAGATGGCTTGTGTGCATTTGTTCTTCTCTGTCCTTTCCTTGCAATATTTTTTAACACTATATGGAGTAGAACTGACTGAAGATATTTGGAAAGTTATTTATCCTTGCTCAGTTCAGAAATATTATGGAGACCAAGTGAAGCTTACAAATGTGAGGACTGGATATGAAGCACAAGCAGGAAGGTCTGGGAAAGGCCTGGAAGAACTAGTCCACAAATGAAAAAGTTGTTCCATGTGAGGAATAATTCTTCCTCTCGCCTCCTCCTCCATGTCTCTCGCTTGTCTGTGTGAGTCACTGTAGTGAAATGGAGCAGCAATGAAGCGGGAGATCAAGCATTACTCTAAACTTCTGTCTGTGCCAAAAAACCCCAACTGACAACAGCAATGGTGGTCTGGTTTTAGAAGAGATTAATTTTTTATTTTTTTCTTTTTTGCTTCTGCAGAGGTGTGAGTTCTGCCAGAAGTCAGGCGCCACAGTGGGCTGCTGCCTCACTTCCTGCACCAGTAACTATCATTTCATGTGCTCACGAGTCAAGAACTGTGTCTTTCTGGATGATAAGAAAGTTTACTGCCAGAGACATCGTGACTTGATCAAAGGAGAGGTAAGATTCTTCTTTCACTCTGCCTCGCTCTCTGAAGGTGGGGTTAGCCTGTAACTATGAGCACTTTTTAGAAGTTTATGTTGAATGTGTTTCTTGCTAACAAGGACTGGACCGCATTGCTCTTAAAAAGTAGCCAGTAATACAAGTGGCCTGGGAAAGTTTGGCAAGTTTGGTGCTGTGTGGTAGTTCAAAAACCAAAAGACTAAAATAAGGTTCAAGTAGGACAAACTAATATAGCATGCGTGTGGTAGTTCCTTTAATTAACAAGTAGTTTTGTTGGTTCTTGTTCCAGGTGGTTCCTGAGAATGGTTTTGAAGTTCTTAGGAGAGTTTTTGTGGATTTTGAAGGGATCAGTTTGAGAAGAAAATTTCTTAGTGGCTTGGAACCAGAGAACATCCACATGATGATTGGTATGATCTAGTCTTTGGATGCTTGATCCACCTTTGGTGCTGGAATCTGGCTCACAGATATGTTCCTCTCTCTGCTCAGGTTCAATGACAATAGACTGCTTAGGAATTCTGAATGACCTCTCAGACTGTGAAGATAAGTTGTTTCCCATCGGCTATCAGTGAGTATAAGCTGTTTCAAGACTCAGTGTCTTTCAGTATATTTCATGTCAAGCAAGCACTGAAGTAACATATGGGAAAATTGACTGTAGTTTTTCCTACACTGTTGAGGAATCTCTGATTAAGGGTGTGCAATGTGTTCTGCCAGGAGGGCATTGGCCAATGTAGTTTTGAGAAATGGAGAATTTAAAGCAGAAATAAAGTTTACTGAGCTGTTGAGTAAATTGATTTTTTTGAATTATCTTCCAGGTGCTCCAGGGTGTACTGGAGCACAACAGATGCCAGGAAGCGCTGTGTGTATACCTGCAAGATCATGGAGTGCCGACCTCCAGTCGTGGAACCTGACATCAACAGCACTGTAGAGCATGATGATAATAGAACAATTGCCCATAGCCCAGTTCCCCTTACAGGTAATCTTTTAAGGACTTCATAGAAGTATATTCTCTGTATGGTTTTGCCATAGTGCACCTCTTAAACCAAATCTCTTAAATTTGGGCTAGAATCCAATTCAGGCTTTCATGTTACAGCATCTCAAGACTTTAAGCTCCTGGATATACTGCTTTGAAAACTTGAGCCAAACAAACACTGCTGCAGGAATGGTTTTTAGTCTACAACTCAGGGAATCTTCTACTGATTTAAAACTTCAGACTGTGTTTGGTCTGTGATATGGGGTTTATTCAATACAGTGTTGAAGAGTTATATTGTGGTTCTGTGTTTCCAAATTACTTACTTGTATCCAGGGTAAAGCTGTGAAAGGTTTTTAAAATGTTTCTAGTCGTTGTCATTGTTAACATAGAATCTTAAACTCTATAAATATATAGTGGAATTTCATGTGTAAGATGAGCAATTGCTACAAATATTTGAAAATGCTCTTACAAGAAGAAAGCAGACATTATCTGATGTCAGATCTTTGTGTTTTTTTAACAAATACCCTGATTCTCCAATATAATAGTAATATATACTTTATCAGATCGTAGCTTTTAGGGCTCAGTAATGGCTTATACTGTTGTTTCCCTTTTGTACAACAACAGAAATTCTACCGAAAGACACCCGAAATACACCTGAAATTGTAAACCCACCGTCACCAGATCGTCCCTTGCATTCTCAGACCTCTAGTTCCTGTTACTATCCAGTGGTCTCAAAGGGTCCCAGGATCAGGGTGCCGAGTTACCCCTCTGCACAGAGGTCTCCTGGCTCGCGGCCGTTACCCTCTGCAGGTATTTCTGCTGCTGCTGATTTTGATTGAGGTTTATTGTGGTAATATTTTTGGTTTAGTTCCTGTCTTTCTTGGCTTCTTTCAGAATGAGGTGTTCAGTTTGCTGTTTCTAGAGAAAGCAGTGAAATGTCAATAGGTTGAGGAGGGGAAGTTGTAACGATTCACAGTAGAGATGGCCTGCAGAGAAATGTACAACTAAAACAAGCATTCCGTTGGGATGAAGAAGAGGCAGGATTTGCACCATATAGTAGTAGTGAGCCCAAAACATTGTAGTACCAGTTAGGGACTTAATATCTCAGTATTTTTCCAGAGAGAATCAGAAATCTGGTGTTGTAATTCAGCAGTTTCTGACTAGCGTTTTCTTCAAACTGATGTTGAAAAGTCACATCTGAAGTTGAGATACCAAACCCTAAAATACAAGCTTGCTGAATTCTGGTTGAAGGTATCAGGTTTTTAACATCTATCTAAAGTATAAACACTGTGTGTTGATGTTGTTTGGCGAAAAGGTTTTGCTGGGCTTTAATTTCTAGTGTTTTTTCTGAAGGAATTGGATGTGCATTCATTGTGAAGATTTAAGATCACCTGACAGTCTCTCTTGCCTTTGTTTCTTAGGAAGTCCTACCCCAGTGACCCATGAAATAGTGACAGTGGGAGATCCTTTGCTGTCCTCAGGACTGAAGAGCATTGGTTCTCGGAGACACAGCACCTCCTCTCTGTCACAGCAACAATCAAAACTCCGGATGATTTCCCCTACACGAGCTGGGAACGCTTACTCCAGGCACAGTGTGTCTTCAGTTTCCAGCACGGGGGCCTCTTCAGAATATGAACCTACTGTCAAAAGTAGTGACCGTTTTGTGGGGTCAGTAAGCACAGGCCCTCCAAGTGCTCCAGTTCAAAGTTGCTCTACCAGTTCAGGCTCCCAGAAAACAGTGGCTACAACTGGAAATAAAACTTACCAGCTGGATGCATCACAGTCTACAGAAGGGAAACATTCCAGCAGTTCAGATTTAGTAGCCAAAGGTGCACCTTCTAAGGGAGAGAAAATCAAAGCCTCAAAGGACCCAGATTATTTGTCTCATACTTTTGTTTCTGGAGGAAGCGCCAAAGTGTCTACTCAGCCAACCAGTTCATCAGCCATGGAAATGAATAAAATAGGAACCTTTCAAGAGTGTTCAGGATCATTTTCTTCCAAAGAAGCAATACCCTTTCCATCTTTGCATCAGAGGGGCCCAAGGAAAGACAGAGATCAGCACATGGAACCTTTACAGCCAGAGAAAACAACTGCAGTGGATGAGATGGATGCAAAAACCTCGAAGGCTGCTGGAGTAAACAATAGATCTCCTGCAGCAAGCGAGCAGGTAGTTACTGCCCCCAGAGATAAACGTCACAAAGGCAAAAAGTTAATGAAAGACAGTTTTAAAGAAAAGCATTCCCTGAAATCTCTTACAGAGACAAGTCAGGCAGTAGGCAGTGATGAACTGAAAACAGACTTTGGCAATCAGGGTTTGGCAACTGAACAAGTTAGTCAGAGGTTATGTAACAATATTCCTGCTGAAAAAGCTGGTGATAAGTCTCCATCTTCACAAGGGCCATCTAAAGGGACTGCAGTGCAGGCTGAAGCAGCCCCTAAGGAATCACAGGCACCCAGGAAACGCACTGTTAAAGTTACTCTGACTCCTCTCAAAATGGAAAGTGAAAACCAGTCTAAAAATGCACAGCAGGAAAGTGATGCTGAAACTCAGCCTGCAGGGGCAGACCTGGCTGCTTTGGCAGAGCCGTCCTCAGCTTCACAAAGCCCAGAAGAGAACCCTGTAATTCAGGGAAGTCCAAATGAACCACCAACACAGGAATCTCAGAATAACACATATGAAAATTTGGCCATTCAAGATAACAGCTTGATGCTCCAGGATGGTGCTAAGGCTCAAGAAGAAGGCTCATACAAGCGGAGGTATCCAAGGAGAAGTGCTCGGGCCAGATCCAATATGTTCTTTGGATTGACTCCTCTGTATGGTGTGAGGTCCTATGGAGAGGAAGACATTCCCTTCTACAGTAACTCAACAGGCAAGAAGCGAGGGAAGCGGTCAGCAGAAGGACAGGTGGATGGAGCAGATGATTTGAGCACATCAGATGAGGACGACTTATACTACTACAATTTCACAAGGACTGTGGTTTCCTCAAACACAGAGGAGAGGCTCGCATCCCATAGCTTATTCAGAGAGGAGGAGCAGTGTGATCTTCCAAAAATCTCACAGCTCGACGGTGTAGATGATGGAACTGAAAGCGATACAAGTGTCACAGCAACAACCAGAAAAGTCAGCCAAGTAACTAAAAGGAGTGGCAAAGAGAATGGGACAGAGAACTTAAAGCTGGACAGAACTGAAGAAGCTGGTGAGAAAGTCACCAAGAGCTCCACCGTCCACAAGACCGACCCCAAGATTGATAACTGCCATCCTGTGAGCAGGGTTAAAACTCAGGGTCAGGACTCTCTGGAAGTGCAGCTGAGCTCGTTGGAAACGGGCCGCAGGGCTCATGCAAGCACACCTGCTGACAAGAATTTACTGGACACTTTCAACACAGAACTTCTGAAATCCGACTCTGACAATAACAACAGTGATGACTGTGGGAACATACTCCCTTCTGACATCATGGACTTTGTGCTGAAGAACACACCATCTATGCAGGCCTTGGGAGAAAGTCCGGAGTCCTCGTCATCTGAACTCCTGACGCTTGGAGAAGGTTTAGGTCTTGACAGCAACCGTGGTAAGGATATGGGTTTGTTTGAGGTGTTCTCCCAGCAGCTACCCACCGCCGAACCAGTGGACAGCAGTGTCTCTTCCTCCATATCTGCAGAGGAGCAATTTGAATTGCCACTGGAGCTTCCTTCTGATCTCTCTGTTCTGACCACTCGCAGCCCTACGGTGCCCAGCCAAAATCACAACAGGCTTGCCGTCATTTCAGAGTCTTCACTTCCCTCCTCGGGAGAGAGGTCAATGCTTGCCTTGCCTTCCACAGAGTCTGGGGAGAAGAGAGTGACAGTCACAGAAAAATCTGCCTCAGGAGAAGGTGACACAGCTCTCCTGAGCCCAGGGGTAGACCCAAGCCCCGAAGGACACATGACTCCTGATCACTTCATCCAGGGCCACATAGATGCAGAGCACATAGCCAGCCCAGCCTGTGGCCCTGTCGAGCAAGGACACGGCAGCAACCAAGATTTAACAAGAAACAGCGGGACTCCGGGGATCCAGGTGCCAGTATCACCCACTGTTCCCCTCCAGAGCCAGAAGTATGTGCCAAACTCCACTGACAGTCCTGGCCCCTCGCAAATCTCCAACGCTGCGGTGCAGACAACTCCACCCCACCTCAAGCCAGCCGCAGAAAAACTATTGGTAGTTAATCAAAACATGCAGCCCCTGTACGTCCTCCAAACTCTTCCCAATGGTGTCACCCAAAAGATACAGTTAACACCTTCTGTTAGTTCTGCGCAGAGTGTGATGGAAACCAACACTTCAGTGCTGGGGCCCATGGGGAGTGGGCTCACGCTGACCACAGGATTGAATCCGAGCTTGCCTCCATCTCAGTCGTTATTCCCTCCCACGAGCAAGGGTATACTGCCCATGTCCCATCACCAGCATATACATCCCTTCTCCACGCCTGCTCAGACAGGCTTCCCACCAAACATCAGCAGTCCTTCACCAGGTCTTCTAATTGGGGTGCAGCCACCCCCTGATCCTCAGCTCTTAGTGTCTGAAGCTAGTCAGAGGACAGACCTTGGTACTGCTGCTTCTACACCAGCTGCTGCTCTGGGCAAGAAACGGCCCATATCTCGTCTGCAGTCACGGAAGAACAAGAAGTTGGCTCCTTCTGGAACCCCTTCTGCTATAGCTCCTTCTGATATGGTCTCCAACATGACCTTAATTAATTTTGCTCCTTCCCAGATTTCTAACCACCCCCTGGACTTGGGAACCATTGCGAATTCAACATCCCATAGAACCGTTCCCAATATTATCAAAAGGTCAAAGTCTGGGGTCATGTATTTCGAGCAAACATCTTTGCTCCCACAAGGTGGGACCACTACTACTGCAGTCAGCACATCTCCCAGCATTATTGGTGCAGATGCCAGTCACCTCCCAGCAGGGCCTGTATCAGGCCTAACGTCGAGTTCCTCAGTGCTGAACGTTGTATCCATGCAGGCCACAGCAGCCCCTAGTACTGGTGGGTCAGTTCCTGGTCACGTTTTGGGACAAAGTTCAGTAACGTTAACAAGCCCTGGATTATTGGGGGACCTTGGTTCAATAAGCAACCTCTTGATCAAAGCTAGTCAGCAAAGCCTTGGTCTTCAGGAGCAGCATATGACTTTACCACCAAGTTCTGGGATGTTTTCGCAACTGGGAGCATCTCAGACTCCGTCTACGGCAGCCATGACAGCTGCATCAAGCATTTGTGTTCTACCCTCAGCGCAGACAATGGGCATGACAGTCGCTCCGTCGACTGCTGACCCAGAAGGCTCCTACCAGCTTCAGCACATGTCACAGCTTTTAGCCAGCAAAACCGGGGTTGCATCCTCCCAGCTGGACCTTAGCACAGTTCCAGCAACCACACAGTTGTCAAGCTTTCCACAGCTGGTCGATGTTCCAAACAACACCGGACCCGAACAAAGCAAGGCTTCCTCATCAGTGGTGCATGCCAGCTCAGCGTCTCCAGGGGGCTCCCCATCAACTGGGCAGCAGTCTGCAAGTAGCTCTGTGCTGGGTGCCACAAAAATGAAGCCAAAAGTCAAACGAATCCAGCCATTATTAGACAAAGGGAATGGAAAGAAGCACAAAACCTCTCACGCATGGGCTGGATCTTCTGAAGCTCACGTTCCCGAAAAAGGCGCTGTTGCTGTACCCCCGGTCTCGGTTACAGGGTAAGAGGACAGTTTGATTTTGCTCATCCCTGAGGTTTTGTAACAGTATGAGAGAATCTTGCACTAGTTTCTCCAGCAAGTTGTGCAAGTCAAGGCAAATTGTGAAGTGCAACTTTTGATTCTGATGTGGAGCTGGAAGCGTGATCTGGTTCTCTGTATCTTACAAGCTGTTGTTGTTAGTTGTGTAATTCTGCAGAACTGCCAAATCCGTGTTGGCAAGTCCCAATGGATACATTCCTGCTTTCCAGTCTCATTTATGGCACACATGGGTTGGCAGATACATTGAATGTTCCCAAATCTTTTTCTTCCAGGACTCCTGCTGTGAAGGCAGATGCGCAGGATGCAGCCAGCGTAGATCAGCCATTGCAGAAGCCACATGGGCAGTCTGCAGGGTAAGGCTTGAACAGACCTTTCTGTGTGGTTCTGCTCGCTTGAGCTGAAGGACATTTGTTTGGAGAATGCAGGAAGTCTGGCATTCCTAGTTAAAATGCCTGGGGAGCTTTCAGTGGGGAATGTACAGTCACACTTTGATGCAATATGGAATCATTTTGCATTAAGCTGCATGTAGTTCTGGGAAGCTCGGTGCCTGCTGAGGAGATGCTCATTCAGCAGTGTCTGATTGTGTGTTGGCCTGCACCTTAATCCTGAGTGGGGCTGACACCAAGAGCGGGTCACAGGCAGTGTGGAATTAGGCTGCTGCCCACAGACTGACACAGGCTGCAAGCAGAAATACTACTGAATAGAATCTTTTTGTTTGTTCATTTCCAACTGAATTGATGTCAGAACATTTGATCTGGAAGAAGATTCTTGCATCTGTCTAAGACTGCTGCTCAGGGTTGTTGAGGAAATGAGGCAGGTTGTTAGCTGTTTTTCTCCATGTTCTTCTCCTTCTCTCCCAAGGCAACCAGCTGTGGTCCCAGAACCTCAGTCAACACAGAACTCAATAAATGAGCAAGAAAATGCAGGTATGTCGCTTCTTCAAAAACACCTAGTCTCAGAATTCTTCAGGACTGGGAAAGTGGTGTTTGAAGAGCTGATTTTTGTGTTTGTCATTCTGTCAGGAAAAGGGTCAGAGCTATTAGTTTGTGTTACCCTTGCTATAAGGGGAGGAAAGGTTTGTTTGCTATTTGTAGATCTTGGACAAATAGTTTTGTCTCTGTCTTTAGTTTGTGAGAATTTCAGCACTTGAGATTTCACACTCTTACTGCAACACTCTAGAAATTTTTTCTTGGCTGGATTTGCTGGTGAAAAGGCAAGTCAGTAAGTTATTTTCAATCGTGGAACACCAGGTGTAAAAACCGTTCATTCCAATTCCCATCTTCAAGCTGGCTTCTGTCTTTTCTAGGCTCAAAAGCTCTCGAGGAAGAAGAGGGCACTTTCAGCTCCCCTCTTATGTTTTGGCTTCAGCAAGAACAAAAGAGAAAAGAGTGTCTTGGTGAGAAGAAGCCAAAAAAAGGTTTGGTTTTTGAGATCTCTAGTGATGATGGTTTTCAGATCTGCGCAGAAAGCATTGAAGGTGAGAACTGCACAGTGTTGGTTTTAGCTGTCCTTACTAGAAGTAAAATTATTACTTCTGAGGACCTCTTACTTGCTTTATTTATAGATTTAAAAAAAGAGAAAGAGAAATCTCTTGGTTTACAGCCCTAGAACAATCCTAGTTCCTGATAATGTCTGGATTTTATTATTTATTTTGCAATATAATATATTCAGTGACCTATTATATATATCACTGACCCATTTTGTTTTATCAGTTGACCAATGATGTTGAACTGTAGTTTGTCAAGAAACAGGCAGTGTGGATCACACAGTGGAGTATTGGGTGTCCAGACTTTTCCTCCAGACCAATTGCTGAACACCCTGCCTTATGCCAATATGAATTTGCAAGAGAATGAAAGCAATTAGATCCAAGGATCTTAATTTATGGCCTGTGGAAAGTTGGAAACTTCATATTCTCCAATTAGTTTATTTAAATATGAGTATCCCAGTGCTTGGATACCCTGTGACCATTTGTCATCTGTGTGTGTGCTGCAGATGCCTGGAAGTCTCTGACTGACAAGGTGCAAGAGGCCCGTTCAAACGCCCGCCTGAAGCAGCTGTCCTTTGCAGGTAACAGCCTGTGCTGAACATAGGAGAGCAAACAGATCTTTCTGTGAGGGTCTTAGACTCTCAATAGTTCCAGGTAACCTGCTGCAGGCTTTATGGAAGGTAATTTCTTCCCAATGGAAGGATTAGAAACTCTCACATAGAATGCAATAGCTAATACAGTGCTGCTGTGACAGCTGTGTGGTGTCCCAGCTCTTTGTGACAAGCTGCTGTATCTTTCTGCTCCAAGTCTGCACTGATAATTACTGTTTGTTGTGCTCTACTTCTTGTTCCAGGTGTGAACGGTTTGAGGATGTTGGGGATTATCCATGATACTGTTGTGTTCCTGATAGAGCAACTGTATGGAGCAAAGCACTGCCACAACTACAAGTTCAGATTTCACAAGCCAGAGGAGGCTAATGAACCTCCTTTGAACCCACATGGCTCTGCTCGGGCTGAAGTCCACCTGAGGCAAGTGTGAGCCTTGTCAGTATTGGGGTTTATGGCCCTTTGGTTCCATAACTTATGCTGTGGCAGGGCAGGAGCAACAAATCTCTGCAGCACTAAAGCTATCACATAAATGTTAAAAACTGGCACATGAAAATCAACCATTCAGCATCTTTGAATTCTGCACATTTTCCTGTGCCACTTTGTGGCCCCTTTGGTTTAACAAAGCTTTCCTGGCTGAGGCTGTTACTGGAGGTTCTCAGAACCTGCTGTGTCTGCCCTGATGCACTGGGCTTTAAGGGAAGGCAGAGTAGGGGAGGAGTGAGAAAGTAAACATGTCAGACTGTTGTGGCAACCATGTTTATTTTCAGTCAGTAAAACAAACTCCCTTTGGTCTCTTTAAATTGCAGGAAATCTGCATTTGATATGTTTAATTTCTTGGCGTCTAAACACCGACAGCCACCAGAATACAACCCGAATGACGAGGAAGAAGAAGAAGTGCAGCTGAAATCAGCTCGGTATGCAGCAGGGCTTAAAGGTTCTAAGGGGAAAATAGTATTGGGATGTTAAAATGAGCAGATCACACTTCGTTAAGGGTTGTGTGCTTTGAGGGGTATTTAAACACTGAAAGCTGTCAAGCACTGCCAGATATAGAGGTAACTTCTGCAGTAACAAAAGAAGTGACAGCTGAAGGTGACCACCAGACTGGTCTGCCTTCAAATGCTTCTTTTCCTTACCAATGAAAACAATCTGATGAGAATTTGAGGAGGAAAGAAAGGAAATTATCTTTTAGATATATATATGAAAACACTGCATTTATTTTGACTGTATTATCTGAAGGCTGCAGTGTCTAAATTGTACAGTGTATAAATTACCTTGGAAAGTGCCCCAGATAATACATGGCACAGAGTCTCGTATACAGGTCATCACTTAGCTGTGCCTCTTTGTTCCAGGAGGGCAACCAGTATGGATCTGCCAATGCCCATGCGCTTCCGGCACCTGAAGAAGACCTCCAAGGAGGCAGTTGGTGTCTACAGGTACGGTTTTGCTCTGGTACCATTGTCCATAGGATAGGGGAAGGTGGAAGCTGGAAACCTGCTGTAAAGCCAGACTGCAAAACTGAGGGGAAAAGAAGGCTTGAGATTCTTTTCCCTCTTCCTTCTCTCTGCCCAAGTTCTGTATTTGAAAAGTAATCCTCAGCACAGACCACTTGCTCCTTGCTGGCTTTACCTTGGCAATTGCTCAGATGTAGGCAGAGTGACCTGGTTGTGGTCTTGTTAGTGTTCCCTTAGAGAAGGATTAACAGTACAACAGTGGTTCTTGTCACAGCCTGTTTTTTGCAGCCTTTGCAATCTGATGTTCTTGAGCTTTGCTTGTCTCATTTGAAATAATTTGCTTTTCTTACTGCATTTTAGGTCTCCTATCCACGGCCGGGGTCTGTTCTGCAAAAGGAACATCGATGCAGGTGAGATGGTGATCGAATATTCAGGCAATGTCATTCGCTCCATCCTCACTGACAAACGAGAGAAATACTACGACAGTAAGGTGAGTTTTGGGCTTTTGTAGATGTTCTTAAAGAGTTTGGGAGAGCTAAAAAGTGGCTGTGAAGGTAGGACAGGCCTATATAAAAATTCTGTTGGGGACATCCCAAATTGTGTTTACTGATTTCTTGGGTTATTTTCATTCTAGCTGGAGCTTAAGAGGCTGGAGCTTTAGAGGCACTTCTCTTTCTCTTCTGTGGTCTGGGATTAGTCGCAGTGAATGTGGGGATGAAATGATTCAGGCAGGAGTGTGTCAGGCCCAGTGGATGGTGGCTGCAGACGCTCCCTCAGAGCTGGGCTGTCTGCTGGGGTGGTTGTGCTGGGCTGCCCTGCCTGCACTAATCCTCCCCTGTCCTCCCTGCACAGGGCATCGGGTGCTACATGTTCCGCATTGATGACTCCGAGGTGGTGGATGCCACCATGCATGGGAACGCAGCCCGTTTCATCAACCACTCCTGCGAGCCCAACTGCTACTCCCGGGTCATCAACATCGATGGCCAGAAACACATTGTCATCTTTGCCATGCGCAAAATCTACCGAGGGGAGGAGCTCACTTATGACTATAAGTTCCCCATTGAAGACGCCAGCAACAAACTGCCCTGTAACTGCGGTGCCAAGAAGTGCAGGAAGTTTTTAAACTAGAACTTCCATCAGCTGCAAGTGAGCCCTGCAGGGCCTGGGGTGAACCAAAGCTTGGAGTGAGCCCCTTCCCGGCCACTGGGATGGGACAGAGGGGCCAGAAGCAGGAGTGAAGATGGACTGGGCTCAGGGACCTGAGACTGGCGGCTGTGTTTGTCCGAGTCCACATCTTCATGTCTCGCATGTGCACACTCACCCTTGTGAGAGACATGGGCGGCTGGAGAAGATCAGCATGGTTATGTTTTTGCTATTCTCATTTCCCCCTGCCCCCATATTTGTTTCTCAGCATGGGGCTAATGAGTGGGAGAGGAGAGGGGAGGTCACCCCAGGCCCAGGCACAGGGCAGCAGTCATGGGTCGTGTCCCTCTCCGTCTGCTGGCCAGAGCTCTCCTTCCTAGGGCTGAGTCAGTGGTTGGGTAGTGCAGTATTTGAGCTTGCCTCCTGGGAGAAGGCCTGTGCCTTGCCAGCGGCCCCCAGGGACTGCATGTCTGCAAAACACTATGTGTGAGTGGGAGTAGGTGTGCGGGGGGCTGGCTTGGCTGCTCCTGAGGAGAGCAGGAAAGAGCAGCCCACAACTAGACACAAGAAGAGTTTGGCTGACATATTGCTCTGAAATCCCTGCCTGAGAGCAGGGGAACTCCTGGTGTTCTTTGGCAAGGAGGGCTTGTGCCAACAGTTGGGGCACTGTAAATCTTTGCTAGCAAAGGCTCCCGTTCACCAGCACTCCCTCTGGGCCATGTGGGAGGGAGGTAGTCCTCTGGGTCCTGTCTCCAGCAGCTGGGTTCCTCCTCTGTCCAGCAAGCTCCTGGCACAGCCAGCCAGCAGTGTCTGGAGGAACTGAGGTCTCTAGAGAGAGGAGGGAGTGCGAGCCAGCCCGGCCTTGGCCGCACACCGCTGTGGAGCAGGAGCTGGGAAGGACTGGTGTGAAAGCACCCGCTCTGCTCTGCCCTGCCACAGTGTCCCAGGTATTTGGGGGCAGGCAGGAGAGTGGCCCTGCAGCCTGTCATGGTCAGTCGTCTGGGTGTAGTCACGTTGTGTTCCCCAGAAAACACAGAAGGACACCAAAACGGAGCCCAAGTTCTCTGCAAAGGCAAGGCCAAGTGCCAGCTGGCCTCGGCCGCAGCATCCCGAAACGCATAGGAAACGCAGGAGGCTTTGGCACAGTGGATGAGGAACCAGGCCAGCTCTGAGCAGGTTGAGGGACACCACTGTCCTGGTTGGAGCAGTGTGAGTCCTCCTCCCTGTGGGATCTGCGCTGTGCCTCAGAGCAAAACCAGAGAGAGACAAATGAGAGACCCAAGCCTGACAGTGACAACATTGGATTCTGCTCTGTTCTGTTTACAGTTTAGTATTTAAGGTTTTATAAATGTAAATATATTTTGTATATTTTTCTATGAGAAGCACTTCATAGGGGAAAGCACTTATGACGAGGCTTTTTACAGTGGTATTATCCTAATTTAAGAGAATCTCTTTTTAATGATTTTTTTATTTTCATAGGATGGTTCTAGGAAATACCTGGCTGGACACAGTCTGAGCCTTTCTCCAGTGGGGGGGTTGCTTTAGTTTTGTTTTCTACTCTTGTTCTGCCTTTTTGACTTTAGTAACTGTCTCCGGGAGGGTTGACTGGACCTTAAACTGTATTTGCCCATAAGGACGGGGCAGGAGGGAGAGCTGCCCAGCGTGGTATGAGTTTCGCTCTGTGGGAGGACAGTGTGTGACTCGGGCAGATAGTTTGATTCTGCCTTGCCCGTGCCGGTATCCTGCAAGGGTTTAAAAAAGAAAAGCAAGACAGGATGAGACATGACACTCAATACCTCTTTGCTGGGAGGCCAGTCTGAGACACACACCTCCTGCCACAGTCTGTCCTTCAAAGGCAGATGGGTTTTTCTGTGCAGAAGGGAAAGCAGAAAGCGCCCGAGCTTTTCCGAGCTTTCCTCGTGGTTAGGTTGCAGTTGTTACAGGAGCCACTTTTCCTGGAGCTGATGTATCCGAGGGCTGCTCTGAACCGGCACTGGCAGTCGGTGGGGAATGGACGGGGAGTGCCTGCTGACTCCCCAGGTCTCTCAGAGGGGCATCCCCCATCCACTCCTCTCTGGTCTTGAGACTTCTTCCTCTGCCCTGAGAAAGAACAGCAGCGCTCGGAGGTTCAGAACCTGCCGATTTCCTTTTGTTATTGCACTGTGTGAGGATAATTTGTTGGTAACTGTTGAAAGCAAAGTCACATTGAGGCTGCATTTGTTACTGAGATGATTTGATGCACTGACAGTTTGGGAACGCACATACTTTGAGGAGCCCAGAGAGTGCCCACCCGGGGATCTGGGCCCCGTGGCCCGGAGCACAGCTGCTCTTGGCCCTTTTCCTTCCGTTTCTGACGCGGGGCGGGGGCATGGCCCTCGCCATGGCAAAGCCCCTGATTTATCCCAGAGCTCAGCTACGCTTTCTCACCCCACGCTCCCCGATTTCCTGGCTGCAGGAGGAGGTTCCCCTGGGAAGCGCTGCCCAGAGCCGCCCCGCGTGGGGAGAGGTGGGGAGAGGGCGGAGGGGAGCGCTGTGCCTCAGGGGTCCGCAGAGCCGAGTGCCAGGCCCCTGGTGCCCGGGCCCGGCCGAGGCAGCGGTGCCCGCTTTGCTGCTATTCCCTGGCGGCCGGAGCCGCTGTGGCCAGTGGAACTGTCTGTACCCCGGGGCACCGGGGCGGCTGAGCCTGCCCGCCTCGGCCGGGCTGCCCAGGAGCACCCCGCTCCCCGTGTATGAATGTATATTTTATAAGGACTGACGCAGATCATGGTATCTGAAAATACTAAAAAAGGAACCTTAGGGCGTTTTTGGGTTTTCTTTGTACAAACCGACATGTTTTTTTTTTAAGGAGAAGCGGGTCATTGCAAAGGGCTGGGTATCTTTTTTTTTTTTCTGGTTTTCTTTCATTTCAAAGCAATACCAAGTTCTTCAGCAGGACGGTCTGTGCAGAATCATGCCATTCACCCATACACTGGTCCACTCTCAACACTTGCAAATTTTTTTATAACTATAAATACAATATATATAGGAACTAATATAGTAATGCACCGTGTAATGAAGCCTAGTTCAGTATCGGTTCATGGCTTTTAATTCTCTTTAACACTATAGATAAGGATTGTGTTACAGTTGCTCACAGTTCCAGGAAAGCCTTGCTGCTCACTCCCCGCTGGCAGCCAGGGCCAGAAGCTGGGAGCGGGTGGTTTGGCTTTTCCTGGCCCTTCTTGTTACAGTCAGTACTTGTACAACTTGGTTTCTTCCTTTCCTTCCTCTCGTTTTGGTTATGAATGTTGGGGTACCACCTACATATAGGGAAAAATGTGCTCTGTGCTTTCCTGGTATCTTTTTAACAAGGTACAGTAGCTTCGTCTATCGGCCGAGAACTATACTTGTGGTGTTTCTTTTATTGAACTTACAGTCTCTTTAGTAACTACAGATAGGTGAATAATTGTTTCAAAAAACAAAAAAAAAAAAAAAGGAAAAAAAAAAGCTCTGCAAAGGCAAGGTTATGTTCTAGAAATACATTTCTTGACAACTTATCATGTATAACAAAAGTTTTTTTTCTTGTGTTCTTCCAATCTACTGGTTGTTTGTTTTTTTGGTTTTTTTGGCTTTGGTTTTTTGGGTTTTTTTAAAAAAAGAGGAAACGTGTCTAAAGTACATCAGTGTTAACTCCCTGCCACAGGGAAGAAGGAAATACTTTAATAGTTTAAAAAAATGCTGAAAGCTCTGCAAAAGACTGAATGTAAAAATAAAAAGTGTACATAGTTGTAAAAAAAAAAGGAGTTTTTAAACATGTTTATTTTCTATGCACTTTTTTTTATTTAAGTGATAGTTTAATTAATAAACATGTCAAGTTTATTGCTGCAGAGGGCTCTCTCCATTTCTTCTTGAGAACTGAGAAGCTGCTGCTTCTCCAGGACGCTCGCAAGGGCCGGGAGCCCCTGGCCAGCGCCCAGGGCTGCACAGGGCGTTCAGGGCCGAGCCCTCGGCCCCGGCTGTGCCAGTGCCCTTGGGTCGCTGCCGGGGGCACTGGCCGGGCGGTGGGGCCTCAGCCCAGGCTGCCATAGGACGAGGCAGGGTGAACATTAACTGGGCTGCGGCAGCCTGCTTGTGCTGCAGCCTTGCCACAGCCCGCAGTGACACAGCAGCATGGCCACAGCCAACGACAGGGCCGTCCTGCAGACCATCTTCAACCCCAGCACCCCTTTTGGGGATATCCCAGGGTTGGATGAGGAGGAGGAGGATGTCCAGGACGAGGGTGAGTGATGCTGCATCAGGTTCTCCCTGGAATTGCCAGCAGGGTCCCCGCAGGGCAAGCAGGTGGGCAGGGAAGGAGGCTCTGCAGGCTGGGAGCAGAGCCTGCTTGAGGGTGGACATCGGCACCGTGTCCTGTGTCTGTTCCCTTCTGGACAGGGAGTGCAGGGTGGCAGTGGGACGGGGCCCCGTGCGTCATCCTGGCGCCTCCACTTCTCAGTCACGGTCTCCCGTTTGCACTGCAACAGTGGAAGCTTTTCCGTTGGAGCTGCTGGATCAAGTGCGGGAGCTGGAGCTGCAGGGCGTTTCTGCGGCCGAGTCAGGAGACATCAGCACGGCCCTGGAGCGGTTCAGCGAGGCCATTCGCCTGCTGCCCGAGCGCGCCTCGGGCTACAACAACCGGGCCCAGGCGCTGCGTTTGCGCGGAGACGTGGCAGGTGAGCAGCGCAGGTGAGCAGCGCAGGTGCGGGCGGTCTCCTGGAAGCCCCAGCCCCTACCAACGCCTGCCCTCGTTGCCAGGTGCCCTGCAGGACCTGGACGCTGCCATACGGCTGAGCCGCGGCCGCGGCCGTGCCGCCTGCCAGAGCTTCGTGCAGCGCGGCCTCATCCACCGGCTGCAGGCGCGGGACGAGGACGCCCGGCGGGACTTGGAGCGCGCAGCGCGCCTGGGCAGCGCCTTCGCCCGACAGCAGCTCGTGCTCCTCAACCCCTACTCTGCGCTCTGCAACCAAATGCTCTGCGAGATGCTCGGTCGGCTGCGCAACCCCGATGGGGCCGGGAGCGACTGAGACGGGCAGGAGATGGGCTGGGTAGAGCCGTGCTCCTGAGCTGGCCCAGGCAGACACGTCCAGAAAAGGTCCACCTCAGGTGCCAGAGCTCCTGTTCCTCCCTCTGGCTAACAGCCAGGGACGGGAAAGCACCAAAGCACCTTGCTGTGTTTGTCTCGCTGTGCTCCACCCCGAATAAAGCTGCCTCTGTCCCCAGCACCTGGGCTCTGCTCGTGGCATTGCAGGAGGCATTGTGGTGCGATCCCAAGCGCGCACAGCCCCGGTGAGATGGGTGCCGCGGCGGGCGCAAGTCTGGGCCCTCTTCCTTGCAGGGGGGAGATGGGAATGGCGGGGACGCGCACACCCCGTCCCGGCCGGGCGGCCCCGAGCCCGCGGCTGCGCGCGGCGATCGCGCTCGGGGAGGCGGCGACGGGGCCCGGCCAGAGGGACGAGCGCGCTCCGCCGCGCCGGGCCCGCCCCTGCGCCGCGTGCACTGCGCTGCCCGCCGGGCCCGGGCGCAGAGCCGCACTGCAGACTGGGCTGCTGCACACGGCAGCAGCAATGCTGCAGGTAAGGTGCGCCTGGGCCACATCCTCCGACCCTGCTGTGTGCTGGAACACCACGTCCCTGCTCTAGCTGCCTCTCCTAGCGCCGAGCACGGCTGATATAACATGGGGTGTGCCAGCGGCTGGCCGGGGGCTGCCCTTGCCCTCCTGCTGCTACCGCTGCTCAGCCTCCTGGCGCTCTGCTTGGCAGGTGAGGCTCTGGTGGGGTCCGGTGCATGACTCCCAGAGCAGGACCCCTGCCACAGCTCTGATGTGGGGGGGCTCTCTGGCAGCACTGGAGGAACTGGACCCCGCCACTGAGAGGCAGCCGCGAACAGTGTGCACCCTGCAGGAGGGGGAGAGTCGTATCTTCACCTGCTGGGTGCCCCGGCCAGCCCCCGGTGCCACGCTGGCCTGGTACCTCAACGGTCAGAAACAGGAAGCGAACCTCTCGACTGCAGACACTGCCAGCATCCTCACCTTCACTGGCCAGCGCTCCGACCACCAGCTCAACTGCTCCCTGACCATCCCGACCTCCAGTGAGAGCTACAACACCTCCATCCTTCTCAATGTGCAGTGTAAGGTCCGCGGTGCCGGCCTGCTCCAGACTGGGATGTGGGGAGGGTGTGTGGGGTTCCCATCCAGCCTGGGCAGGCCCATGACCTGCATCCACCACAGCCATAGCAGGGCAGCATCTTCTCCGTCCTGTGCAAACGAGGTAGACAAGTACTCCTGGACCCAGGCGAGACAAATCCTGCTCCCAGCTGTGCTGTGTTGTCCCCATCCCTCCTCCCCATCTCACTGCCTGTTTTTTACCCAGATAAGCCAGAGATCCTCCAGGAAGGTGCCCACTACCAGCAGGTTGAGGGCACTGGCCTTCTCCTGGTACTCTTTGTGCTGGTGCAAGCCAACCCACCTGCCAGCATCACCTGGATGGACAAGCATGGGCATATGATGGCTAACACCTCCAAGTTTCTCCTTCTGGGTGCCACAAGCTACCCAGGGCTGGCCAACCACTCACTCCACATCCATTTCAACTGCACGGCTGGAAACCTCTCCATCAGTGCAGCCAACAGTGTGGGCATCACCACTGCCTCCCTCCTGCCCACAGGTAACTGTTGAGGGGTGGGCATGGTGCAATGGCCCTGTGGAAGGGTGCTGATGGCTCTGCACTGCCGGTGCAGGTCTGCTGGATGCCCGTGTGGAGCTGCCTGTCCTGGGAGTTGCCATTGGAGCAGCCCTGGCCCTATCTGCCCTGCTCAGCCTGGGCTCCTGTGCTGCCTGCCTGGCATGTCGCTTGCCCGAGCTTATGCGAGGTCCGGGGCAAGCAGGACCCAGCCCACGCAGCCAGTGCTCCCACTGCAGCAGCTCTGGGCCCCCGCAGCCCCAGGGCACACGCCTGCCCCGCCAGACCCAGTCCCTGCCACCCAACCTGCGCCTCGGTGACCTTGCACAGGAAGAGGGAGGTAAAACCCTGATGTGCCAGTGCAGCACGTGTGGGGCTGCAGGTCTTGTCTGGGTGAGGGATAGATGTCCTGGCTCTTATTCCTTTGCTTCCCTGCAGCTTCCCCCAAGGATGCAGGAGCCAGTGCTAGGGGAGAAGAAAGTGCCCTGCTGGGACTGGAAAACTCCCTGGTCCGCAGCAAGCTTGGTAAGGGAGCAGGTGGGCAAGCAGCCCTAAAAATGTGTCGTGAGACATGGAGCTCCGTGGCTGCCCCAACAGGCAATGAGTTCTTTGTCCTGCAGGTTTTATCCAGCTCCCAGTGTCTGGGCGCATCTACAAAGTGCCCAGCATGAGCAGTGATGAGATCTGGCTGTGAGCTGCAGCGCGGTGCCCGTGAGCCAGGGCTGTGCCAGAGCCGAGCAGCTGAGGGTGCCAGGAAGGCCGTGGTGGAAGTGGCAGCTGACCAGCCCCAGCTCTGTGCTGTGCAAGGCTTGGGAGCTGTGCTGTCAGCCAAGGCATGGTTAAATGTAGTCCCTGAACTTTACTGATATTCTGTTATAATCAAAACGTATCAAAACTGTTTATAGCCAGGCTCCAGCACTGCGATTCCTCTCGGGGTAAAGCCAAGCACCAGCTTTGCTTTAGCAGGTTTGTGACTCCCTGCATGACCCTCTTTGCCCCTGTCCCTGCTGCTGTGGCAGACGGGTGGGAGGTCAGTGGAGCAGGGGCTGAGGAGAGCCCAACAGCAATAAACTGAATTCAAGCATCTCTGTGGTGCCATACAGGTTATTTCTGCTTGACAGGAGCTAAGGGACTCTTCTCAACAGGAAAGGGGGTTCAATAATAAGGAGCAGAGGAGATTCAAAGGTCTCCAGGTCAGAGCTTGCAACACCCTGAGCAGATCTGAGTGTTGTGTCTGTGGAATTTATTCCTGTTTGCTTCAGCCCTTATAGTGTGTGCTGAAGGAGCCTCTGCTCTGCAGCACCTGTGGCAGAGAGATCTTGACACTGGGAAAGGCTGGTTTAATGCTGAACTCCTTGGGAACAAGTCAAAAATAGAGCCATTGGGCAGCTTCTGCAACAAATATGGTGAGTGAAGCCCTACTCCCTAACACAGAGCAGCCCAGCAAGGTCTCTGAGATCAGAGAGGCTTCTGATTTGCTGTGTGGTATCTCCCAACCTGCTCTGGGTACACCTCAGTGTCCAGTGGCAGACAGTGATCCAAGAGATGAGGCTTTAATGTGCAGCATCAATTAAAGCTCAACACCTCTGCCTCCGCTGCTTGTGAGGGTGGGTTGGATGGTGGGCTCCTGCCCTTCTGCCCATCAGCCAGGGGCTTGAAGTGCTGCAGGGAAAAGAACATGCTCATGCAAAGATTTGACTCCCACTGCTCAGAGCGCACACACGCATCTGAATGCGCTGGCCACACCCCGAGTTGTGCTCAGCCCAAGGAGATGCACTCAGGCTTGTGCCAGCCTGTTGAACAACATGGCACCTCAGCCCAGAGCACAGCCCAGCTCCCTGCGTCAGACAGAGGCACCAGGGAGAGAGAGCATCAGCTGGGAACGTGTTCTCTGGGGCCCACCAGCCCTCTGCACACCCCACTGCCATCACAAAGCCAGATGTGAAGGGCCCAGCTGTGCAGTGCTGCTCGCCGGGTGGAGCTGCGTACCTGCGAGTTCTTGAACTCCAAAAAGAGGGAGAAGAGGACGTGCAGAGGGTGGATCCGGCTCTTGTACACGGGGATGTCCAGAATGGCTGCGGGCGAGATCAGAGCGTGTGAGGGCACCTGATCTGCACTGCCCCACGCAGAGCATTGTCAGGAGGGGCTGAACTCCCACTGCCCCCACCACTGGGGCTCCACGCACCAAAGACTGCAGCCCCCTGTAGTGCAAGAGCCCACCTCCCACTGAAGCAGAGGAAATAATCCCGAGTGCTCGGGGCTGAGCCTGCAGCTAAAGCTCCCTGGCTTTCAGTGAGAGTGCCAGGCCAGCGTCACATTGTGTCGGCAGCACAGCCTCCCCAGCTCACCGCAGATCATGTCGATGTACTCGGCAAGGTCACAGCTCATCTCTGCGCTCGGAAGACCCACCTGCAACAGACAGGGCTGTCAGCTCTGCTCCGACTGCTCGAGCCTGGGAGCAAACAGAGGCCACTGGGGCAGCAGCTGGGAACTCCCCTGCTGGGCTGCTCCCCAACTTCTGCCCAGGGCCGAGCCGTGAGGAGGAACAAGCCCAAGAGGCTGGGCTGTGGGACGGAGCAGGCACCCAGCTTTAATGGGAGATAGTTTCTAAGACCAAGCACTGAGCTAACCACTGGTCACCCAGACCATATACCTTTCCCAGGAGCTCCTCGAATTCTGGTGACCATTCCTGCATCAGGGTCTCGATGTCAGGCATTGGCCTGCCAGGGAAGATTAGAACATCAACTTCAGCATCAAACACAACCTTCCACTGCTAGCTACTCCATCAGGAGTAATCCAGTAACTCACCTGGAGTAATGGACTGTGGCAGGAGGCTTGCAGCGATGCAGTTCACTAATACTTTCAATCCAGCTCTCAATGGCTTTAGGGTTATTTTCTGCATTCTCCAAACTCTTCACTTTTATTTGCTGCTAAAAACACAAATATAAACCTGGAAGTGTTTAATGGTGTTTTGGGGCTTTTTGGGAGAGCTGCATTCACTTCTGGTGAACCAGGCCTTCTCTCTTTCCCAGCTGCACTTTACCAATGGATTTCTGCAGGCAAAATGCCAACTAAAACTGGGTATGAACAACCCAAAAGAAATAAAGTATCACCTGAAGTGAACAGACCCAGAGTTCATATCAAGACTTGACTGAGGCAAGGCTCAAATCCACTGCAGTTTAAAACTATGGATTAAAGCAAAAGGTGTCGTTTTGCTGCTTTTAAAGTCAACTTCTCAGTTGTAAGAGTAAAATGCCATGGTTTTACTGCAGGAAATGTGACCTGCAGTAAGTGTGACCTCCCTCTCCCTGACTCACTGTGATGTTGTGCTGCTTGGAGTTCTCTGTCAGCCAAAGGGAGAGCACGGTGGGGTCTGACTGCTTGGTTGAGGGCTCATCCAGGACCAGCAGGCCAAGGTTGTCAGGCTTGCCATCAGGACGAGGAACCTGCAGGAAAACAGAGCCCTGTTCTCTGGGGATCCAGGGCAGGTGCCTTCCTACGGGCTCTCTCAGATGTGCATTCTATGTAGGGTGCTGCCTGAAAAGCACACGGTGTTGAAGAAGGAAAGCCCAGGCTTTCCCCCAAGTTACCCAAGTGCTGTTTGGGAGGTGACCAAACCACCAGTGTAGTTTTCCAGGTCTCTGCTCATCACATCTGACAGAGCAGGGGCAGACCAGAGCCCAGGCTGCATGGCCTGGCTGCCTGCCTGCTCTGAGCCTGCATTCTGTTTCGGTTCATGGAGCAGGACAGAGAGGGGAACCTGAAGAAATGGTACCTTTAGGAATGCATCAATGTCTCCAACAGCAGGAATAAAGTCTGGAATAAAAGGCTGCAGCTTGTGTTCAATCTCTATTGTTTTGGGAGTGTACCTGGAAAAAAACACCACCACAGCATAGGTGACTAGAGACCATACTGCAATAATTGACACAAAGGAGAGCCAAGAGCAGGCTAAAACCCTTCCACTCACCTCTTGATGTATTCAAAGAGATCTTTGATTTCAGAGGACACCTGCAGGTAGTCAAAATCTGCTGCACTGAAGTCACTAAAAGAAGGAAGAGAGTAGAGGGAGAAGATTAGCATCTCCTGGGCACAGTAAACAAGTCTGGGACAGGTTCACCAGCTGGAGGAACCACCATCCTGAAGCCTCGGGGAGGAGGAGGCAGGAGCTGCCTGTCCCGATGCCACGGCTCTGCTCACGCTCGTGGGATCTGGGGAAACCGGAGGAGCTGACAGGGCCCGAAAGGCACCCACCAGCCTCAGCCCGCTCACCCCTCCAGCGTGGCCCCGTGCTCCTCCGAGTCCTCCTCCGAGTCGCTCTCCGAGGAATCTTCCTCCGAGTCCTCATCGTCCTCGTCGTCATCCTCGCTGAAGGTGGCTGGGCCGGGGAAGTGTGCCGCTGCCTCCTCCTGGACGAGAGCCGGGTCTCACGGGATCTCACCGAGCCCCCGGGGCCGTGCCCCCGCCCCGCCCGCTGCGCTCGTACCTTCCCTCCGCTGCCCCGGCCGCCGCTCCCGGCCGCTTCGACCGGCACCCCGGGCCGACGGGAGTCCCGCAGGCGGCCCGCCGTCCCCGCCCGCGGCGAGCGGGCTCCGGGATCGGCCTCAGGCAGCTCCAGGCTCTCGTCGTACGGCTGGTTCTCCACCGGGCGGGGCTGCGCCGAGAGCCGAACTCAGCGGCGGCGAGGCCCGGGACGGCCCGGCGCCCGCACCCACCGTGTGCTGCCACGCTGTGTCCCGTGCCCCACCTCCGCCCGCGCCCCGTGTCCCGTCGTGTCCCCCGTGTCCCGCGTATCCCCCGTGCCCCACCTCCGCCCGTTGTGTCCCGCCGTGTCCCCCGTGCCCCACCTCCGCCCGCCTCGCTTCCCGCCGCGCCGCCGCCGCCGCCGCCGCCGTCGCCATGGCGACTCCGCCCGCCGCGCCCGCAGCGCCCACTCGGCCCGGCCGCGCGCGCCCCCTGGCGGCCGGGAGGAGCCAGCGCCCCGCCCCGCCTCGCCTCGCCCCGCCCCGCCTCGCCCCGCCCCGCCGTGACGGTACTTCCGGGTGCGGACGTGGCGCGGCGCCGCCATCTTGCGGGGCGGCCCGGGAACCGGAGTGAGCGGAGGGCCCGAGCGCGGATCCCGCCGCCGCTGCCGCTGCTATGGTAAGGAAAGGGCCTGTCCGCCGCGGGCAGCGCGGGACTCGGGACAGTCCCCGGGGCAGTCGCGGCGGTCGCCCGGACGCCCGGCCTGTGCGCAGGCCGGCGCTGGAGCCCGCGGCCTGGTGGGACGGAGCGCGGCGCTGCCGGGTTGGGCCGGGGCCCTTGGGGGCGGCGGGGACGCGGCACTTTTTCTCTGGCGACTTGGAGCTACGGTGCCTCGTGAGCACGGCCTCACGCCTATTGTAATTGGCGTTCGGGCTGTAAGGTGTAACCGGGCCGGTGGTGTCCGCCCGCTCCCCCGTGGCACCCTGTGTCTCAGGGCCGGTCCAGCTCCTTTTGTCCGTCACGGCGGTGTTTGGGTTAGTACAGACCCGCACACTGCTCCGGCAGAGCTGAACTGTGCCCGAGGTGCGGCAGGGATCAGCGCTGCCATGTTTGAGGATTTCGGATACTTTCTGTCAGTAACAGCAGTTGCGGATTTAAAAGATCCGAAGCGCGGAACAGAATTATATTAAAAATTATTTTAATTTCTGACAAAAGAAATTAACATCTGTGAGAGAGAAATAAAGGGGGGAAGTCTGGGCAGACTGGGAGATGGAGAAAGTGCAGCTGGTGAGTGCCTTGCTGCCCTGTCGGTGTGATAACGCCTGCGAGCTGCCTGGGAGTCAAACCGGGGCTTCGCGAACCTGGCTCTGCTGTGCCTGTGGCGCTGGGAGATGTTACACCTCACAGCGGTCCTGTGTGTAGTGTAAGCTGGGGCAGCCTCAGGGAAAAGTCAATAATCCGGAGCCTCCCCTAACGCTCCCAGGGGCTGTACACCTCGGTCTGTGTGAAATCAGGAATGATCGTTTGCCTGGCAGAAGCAGGGAGAGCTCTCAGTATTGTTTTGGGACAGAATGTAGATCGGAGAGAGTGTGCAAAAGCAGGATGTCTCTGTTCTTGACATAG